GAAAGCAAAAAGAAAGAAGGAGAAGGTCAAAATAGATGTCAGAAGAGACACTGAAACTTGCTCTGCAGCATAGAGATGCTACAGCAAATGGAAGAAATGAGGAGGTACAAGAGCTGAACAGAAAATGTCAAAGGTCAGCTTGAGAAGACAAAGTGAAATATTGCAATGAACTGCACAGAAATCTGGAGTCAGAAAACCAAAAAGGAAAAACACTCTCAGCAATTCTCAAACTGGAGGAACTGAAGAAAAAATTCAAGCCTCCACTTTCATTATTGAAGGAATCTCTGTGCAACTTATTGAATGATGCAGAACGCATCAAGAGAAGATGGAAGGAGTACACAGGTTAGTGGTAGAGCACTTTATTTTCTGGGTGTGTTTTCATGGAATTTCAGTAAGGACAAATTGCCAAAGATAGCTCTACTTCCAACAGAACTTCCCTGTGTAAATTATTTGCGTAAAAGTTAAAACATGCCTGAAAAAAATATCTTCCTTCCATTTAGATCTCTGCCTGAGAGAAATTGCTTCTTAATGTTCATCTTTATGCCCAGTTGTTGAACTTACTTGTGGGTGCAGCTGCTGTTGTACTGTCAACCCTCCCAGGTTCAGTGGGTGAGTCTGGGCACCAGGTGCCATCCCTGAAGCAGGATTTAGCTGTAGGGCAATAAAGAATATATTCATTGGTTTTTAATTTTGTTTTTAGTTTGAACATTTAGAAAGCTAGAAGGTATTTACTAAACATAAAATTCACAGCTGGATCAATAAATACCATCATGTATGATAAATAGAGAAATGATTGAAATTGTTAAAGACTTCATTTTACTTAGATTCACTATCAACACTCACAGAAGCAGTAGTCAAGAAATGAAATGACATATTGCATTAGGTAAACTCTCTTCACAAGACCTTTTTACAGCTCTCAAGAGTAAAGATGTCAGTTTGTGGACTGAGGTGCACTTGACTCAAGTCATGGTATTTTCAATTGCTTTGTATGTATGTGAAACCTGGATAATGAATAAGGAAAACCATAGAAGAATTGATGCATTTGATTATGGAGTTGACAAAGAATATTGAAAGTACCATGGACTGCCAGGAGAACAAACAAATCTGTTTTGGGAAAAGTACAGCCAGATTGTTTCTTTAGAAGTGATGATGCCAGACTTTGTGTCTCGTAGTTTGAGCATGTTTTCAGGAAGAACCTTTCTACAGTTCCTGTAAAAGACATCATGTTTGATAAAAGGGGAGGCTCAGTGAAATAAAGGAAGGCCCCCATCAAGAAGGAGTGACACAGTGGCAGCAACAATGGGTCCATGTGTAACAAGACTTTTGAGGCTAGCCCAGGATAGGGTAAGGCTTTGTTCTGTTGTATTTAGGGTTGCTATGAATTGGAACTGATTTAATGCCACATAACATTTACAAAAATAAATATAAAATATTTTTAAAGAGAGACTTTTAAATGTAAATGCATCAAATTATATTTCATGTGGATTGAGCAAAAAGCTTAAATACAAAGTGCACTTAAGTCATAACATCCAGGGCTAATTTTTCCCACATAGTTTTTCTTTGGCATTTAATCCATTCTCTTTTAAAATTACTTAAGTGGTTGTATCTTCATGTTTCTCTTTTGGATACACCACTAGTGACTCCTGGAATTTCTTTGATGACTTTCTCATGAAAACTTGAATTGCTTTATACTTAACCACATGAAAACTGTGGAACAGAATAAAACACTTAGTTTAAAATATGTACTAAATGACTGGGAAAAATCCACTCTAACCAGCAAAACACTTATTAACTATTTTTTCTTCCAAATAGATTGAACTATTACAAAGATTCTATTGGAGGAGTGAAGATTTTTGTATGCCTACTTGTTTATCCTGATTGTCAGTAGGGTGATGATTCAATCACAGGGTTTATATGGGTTATGAAATGACAGACATGGGAGGCAGTGAAGAGGTATCACAGTGGAATTGGGACAGGACTTCAGAGAAGAGATAAGAAGAATTAAGTAAGTAAAGACATTAAACTAGATTAAATTCTTAAGCAGTTCTTGCTTTATGAAAATCTTTTCATGATGTACTGAATACTATCCAACTCTCCTTGTATTTTGGCTGGCATATCTCTTTCAATTTTTCTACAATGAATGTGAGTATGTGTACATGGTACACATGCATATCTCATATATGTAAATGCTCTGTATATCTTTATCTATACAGTATATATACAGAGCATTGTGGTTCTGTAGGATAAGCACTGGACTTCTAATCACAAGGTCAGTGGTTTGAGTCCACTAGCCACTGCATGGGAGAAAGATGAAACTTTCTGCTCCCACAAAGATTTACAGCCTCGGAAAGCCTATACAGGATTGCTATGAGTTGTAACAGACTCGATGGCACTTAACAACAACATATATATGTATCAACATTAGGTATTAACAGTGGATATAGATGGTGTAAAATGGAACTTACCAGTTGTAGATCTGACCCCAGTGTGAACATCTGTGTTAGTGGTATCAGACTCAAAGAAGGGAAGACCTGTGGGACATTGAAATTATTGATAACAGGACGTCAATGTCGTTTACCCTGACAAAGATGGATATAATCAACTAGGATCTCTGGTAGCGTAGTGATTACAGACCAGGCTGCAAACCTCAGGGTCAGCAGTTCGAAACTACCAGCTGTTCCATGGGAGAAAGATGAGGCTTTCTGCTCCCGTAACGATTTACAGCCTCGGAAACCCTGTACAGAGTCGCTATGAGTTGGAACCGACTCCATGGCACTTAACAATAACAACAATCAACTAGGCTACACTCATGTCAGAGATGGATTTATAGTGAAGGAAAAGGAAGATGACACTCCACGGACTTTCACTTGTCTTGCCCCCTTCCCAGGTCCTGGGAATTGCCCTAGCAGTATGCCCAATTATCTCATTTATCAGCTTAAAAATGTTGTATTTTATTTTTAATTCTTAAAGAACATGCACTTTAGAACCTAATTTTACATACTCAGTTTTATTTCTTTTTTTAATTTTTTTTTTTTAACTTAAATAGGGCTGCCAAACTGTATGTGTTTCAGATCTTTTAAGGAGTAAGATTGACTCCTGACATGTGTTCTATAATATTCATAGAATTAAAAAAGAGAATTCTTGATTCTAACATGATTTTATTTATAAGGTCATTATTATTTAGTTCATAAATATAGATGTAGGTAATGAGAGGGTCTTTGGTAGTAGAGGAATGGTTGGAATGAGGTAGACAAGAGATACTGAAGTTTTAAAAAATATTTAAATACACATGTTTCAAAAAAACAACTTTTGCAATAACATATTGTCTCATCAACAATAATAAAAATTTTAATAAAAACATGAGGAAATCTGCAATGTAAAAATCTATATATTTATAGATCACCTCTTAATTTCTGTAAACTCCAGCAAGTATATGATATACTGAGGCAGGGAGAAAAGGGGATCCAGAAAACAGGATTAAAACCTGGGCCATTTACTAAAATGTAACTAAAATCCTTGAAGAATACTGAGGGCGATATCCCCCATCCATGATGATATTCAGGACACACCTGTTAGGACATGCTTGGTGCTCATATTGTACCATGGGATGGGCAAGGTAAGAGTGCTTTATGGGCCTGATATACCTCTTTAGAAGTGTCTTTCAAGAGAAACTAGCTGAAGACCAGTTCTTGGAGCAAGTACAATGTCTCAAGCTCTGACTGCTGCATGACTTCCCACTGAGAGTGGTCAAGCACCTCAAGTCCAGCCTGGGATTCCAACTGCAGTCTAGAGACAGAGTTCATGCACACCACCCCATAATATGTCCCATTAGTACCTCCCAGACATTTTCATGGCCGATTCCACCTTGGATTGAACCAACTCCATTTTGAAATCTTATTGCACTTGCACCTCATTATCTTAGCCCTAAAACTCACCCCACCCTTTCCCAAGGAGAATCATGAATAAATATGAGAGCCTTTCCTGTCTTCCCTGCCCAAGAATCTTCTAAAGACCTAAACCAAACAAAAATTCAGGGAGGTGGTGGTAGCATTGCATAGAGTTCTCCTCATCTACTCTGGCCAGATCTTTCATCTCGGTAAATCTTTTAATCTTCTGCTTGCATGAAATTCTTTCCACCTGACCTGATCATTCTTGGCAAAGGCAAGGATCTTCCATTGTAGGGTTGGGGACTCCTCCCTACAACCTAATAACAAAATAATAGTATCTCAAGGGCATACTTGACCAACTTATAAATAAGTGTAGTTATTCATTTTAAAAGGTTATTTAACTTGGTTGTTAAACCAAATTATTATTCAGACAAAAGAGAAAAGAATGAGGATACTTTGCTTTTCCTAGTTAAAAACAATATTGGTTCTTATTTGGTTTCTCAAACAGAAAGTCTCACTCTCATTCACTCATGAGACTGTAAATATTAACTTTAAATCTAGTAGTCTTAACAAATTTTCTTTCCTGGTTTGCAAATGTTCTCTGTTAAAGGACACTTACCTGGTTTGGCTGCTGGTGATTTAATTGTGTTGCCTGATCATGAACAAGCTTTGCTGGAGGAAGTCCCAAAGCAGGATTGGGTTGCATCTGTGGTAACAAATATTTTATGAGGCAGGACTGTGTTTGAGGTTTTGCATCCATTTATGTCCAAGAGCTAACAGGTACTCTTCAAAAAAAAAAAAATGTCTTTCTTTAAGCTCTGAGTGTTTTGGAGCAGTTTTAATTCCCTGTTTGGAATGGAATATTTTGCATATGATGGGAGATGGACTTGTGGAGTGGAAAAATGCAGAGAAGGTGGGGTGAGATGGTGTGGTGGTGGTGATAGGGTGGGGTAAAGTACATGGGATTTCTGTGGTAGTGCCTGATTATCTTGCCTGTAACTCCCATCCTCCTTTTTCAGGATATGAAGTATATAGTCTTCGCCTTAGCTCTATGCTCATTTGCTTTTATCTAGAAGGTAAATTGCTATGTTGTCATAAATTTAATGATGCTTCATTTTTTAAAAATCTAATGCCTTACATGCATTTCCTGTAATGGAAGTTAGTTCTCTTCTTGGTTAGGGAATTTCCCTGATGTGTTAAGAATCACAGATTTCTTTCTTTCGTGAAAATGTCCGTGTTATTGTCATGGTCTAGTTGTATTGATTTTTTTTTTTTTTTTTAAATAAGGAAACAGAGGCCTAGAGAAGCAAAGTGACTTGCTCGAAGTGCTAGCGTCAGTACTAGAATCTCTGCAAATGCTCTTGGGCTTAGAGAAATGAGTTTTTCCATTTGCATCTCTCAGGACATCCTCTGCAATTAGACTGAAGAATCTTAAGTCATCATTTGTTGCTAGCTCTATTCCCAAGAGCAGTGTGGTATGGACCTTGAGCATTGGGCCAGTGCTTAGGTTACCTTGGAGCTGCCACGGACTCTTAGTTTGCTTTGAATTTTTTCCCGAGTTGTAAAAGAATGGCATCTCATGCATTATCAAAAAGAACACTTCAAGGTCTATCTTGAAGTACAATGCTGTCTGTGATAGGTTAATATCCATACACCTACAATGAAGACAAGTTAATATAATCATTATTCAAATTTACACACCAACCACTAATGCCAATGAGGAAATTGAAAAATGTTACCAACGTCTTCATTCTGAAATTGGTCAAATTTGTATCCAAGAGGTGTTGATTGGAATAAGAAAGTTGGAAACAAAGAAGTACAGGTAGAAAATATGGCCTTGATGATAGAAACAATGCTAAAGGTTGCATGACAGAATTTTGCAGACAAATGACTTATTCATTGCAAATACCTTTTCTCAACAACAATAACAGTGACTATACATGTGGACCTCTTCATATGGAATGCACATGAATCAAATTGAATACATCTGTAGGAAGCAATGATGAAGAAACACAATATCATCAACAAAAAGAAGATTGGGGGTCAACTGTGGAACAAACAATCAATTGCTCATATTGAAGTTCAGGTTGAAGATGAAGAAAATTGAAACAACTCCACAAAAGCCCAAATATGGCATCAAATATATGCTACTTGAATTTAGTGACCATCTCAAGAACAGATTTGATGCATTAGACACTAATGACTGGAGACTGGAAGAGTTGTGGGATGACATCAAGAACACCATATACAAGGAAATCAAAAGGTCATTTAAAAAGACAGGAAACAAAAAAAACACAAAAGACCAAAATGTATGTCAGAAGAAACTCTGAAATATGCTTTTGAACACTGAAAAACTAAAGCTACATGAACAAATGATGAAATAAGCAGCTGAACAATTTCAAAGGGCAGCTTGAGAAGACAAGGTCAAGTATTATAATGACATGCATAAAGATATGGAGTCAGGAAACCAAAAAGGAAGAACAAGCTCAGCATTTCTTAAGGTGAAAGATCCGCAGAAAAAAAATTCAAGCCTGGAGTTACAATACTGAAAGATTCTATGGGAAGAATATTGAATGATGCAAGAAGCATTAAAAGAAGAAGGAAGGAATATACAGAGTTACTATACCAAAGAGAAATGGTAGATTTCAAATATTTAAATACTTAGCATATGATTAAGAACTGATGATAATAAACAAAGAAGTCTAATCTGAATTGAAGGTATTGGTGAAAAACAAGGATGCAGGAGTTGATGGAATACCAGTCGAAATGCTTCAATAAACTGATGCAACACTGGAAGCATTCACTCATCTATTCCAAGGAATTTAGAAGACAGCTACCTGGATAATGGATTGGAAGAAATTCATGTTTGTGACCATTCCAACTCAAAGGAATCATCAAACAATATCATTAATATCACATGCAAGTAAATTTTTACTGAAAACAATTAAAAAACAGTTGTAGATGTACATCAACAGGGAGCTGTCAGAAATTCAAGCTGGGTTTCAGAGAGGAAATGGAATGAGGGATATTTTCATTGACATGAGATGGAATTTGGAAGACAGCAGAGAAAACCAAAGATATTTTTTGTGTGTGCTCTACTGACATTCAACTATGTGGATTATTACAAACTATGGACAGCAATTCAAATAATAGGAATTTCAGAACACTTAATTGTGCTCATGGGTAACCTGTATGTAGACCAAGAGGCAGTCATTCGAATAGAACAAGGATTTAATGAATGGTTTAAAATTAAGAAAGACATGTATTAGATTGTATCCTTTCATCACACTTATTAAATCTGTATGCTTAGCACATAATCCCTGAAGATGGATTATATGAAGAAAAATGTGGCATCAGGATTAGAGGAAGACTCATTAATGATCTGTGATAGGCAGATGATATAACCTTGTTCCTGTAAGCAAAGAGGAACTGAAGTATTTACTTATGAAGATCAAAGACTACATACTTCTATATGGATAGTACTTCAATGTAAATATAATTATAATCCTCACAATTGAAGCAATAAATAACATTATGATACATGAGAAAAGACTGAAATTGTCAAAGACTTCTTTTTACTTAGATCCATAACCAATGCTCATGGAAGCAACAGTCAAGAAATCAAACACTGCAAATCTAATGCAAAATATTTCAAGAGCAATGATGCCACTTTGAGAACTAAGGTGAAGTTGATTCAAGCCATAGTATTTTCTATGGCCTCATACACATGTGAAAGCTGGACAGTGAATAAGAAGACTGTAGAAGAATTGATGCTTTTGAATTATGGTGTTGGTGGAGAATATTGAAAGAGCCATTGGCTGCCAAAAGAACCAACAGATCTGTGTTGGAAGAAGTGTAGCCAGAGTGCTCCTTGGAGGCCAAGATGGCCAAACTTCGTCTCTCATACTTTGGACATATTGTCAGGTAGAACCAATCACTAGAGAAGGATATCACGTTTGGTAAGGTGGAGGATCAGAGAAAGAGGAAGACCCCCCCAGCAAGATGAATTGGCAATATGGCAGCATCAATGGGCTAAAGAGTCACAACAATTGTGAGGTTGGCTCAGGACTGGGCATTGTTTCATTCTGTTGTGCATAGTGTCACTCTGAGTCGGTACGGATTCGATGGCAGCTAACAACAACCACAAAATATGTGTGAATAAGGAAGACAGGAGAAGAATAGACGCATTTGAATTGGTATTGGCAAAGAGTATTGAATATACCCTGGACTGCCAGAAGAGCAGACAAATCTGTTTTGGAAGATATTCCTTGGAAGCGAGGATGGGGAGACTTAGTCTTTCATAGTTTGGACATGTTGTCAGGAAGGACTAGTCTCTGAAGTGGGGCATAATGCTTGGTTATAGACGAAGAGGGTATAGAAAAAAAAGGTTATAGAAAGAGAGGAAGACCCTCAACAAGATGGATTGACACAGTGGAAACAACAGTGAAATCAAACAGAACAACAGTGTTTCGCTCTGTTGTACATAATGTCGCTATGAGTCAGAACTGACACCATCGCACCTGACAACAATAACAATGTTATCTGATTTTTATATTGTTCCTATAAATATTGGACTGCTAACTAAAAAGTTGTCCATTCAAATTTACCAGTTACTCTGAGAGAAGACGATGAGGCTTTCTGTTCTTGTAAAAGATTTACAGCCTCCGAAACCCTATACAAAGTTGTTGTGAGTTGTAATTGACTCAGAGGCAGTGTTGTTGTTGTTGTTTTAATAGCTAATATTCATTTTAGTGTCACATCTCTCATTCCTTGCCCCCACGACTTGTCTAATTGCTGTCACTTTGTTGGCTATTAGCAATCTGTATTAACTTGTTCATGAATGATAACTCTGCTCCTGGAAAGTTTTATTTATCTTGACTTTTTACAGATTTTGTAGTAATTTAAAAACAATGGAGAGACCATGTTTAAAAGAACTATTTGGTAAATTAATTTTGTGACTTTCAAAATGATTTGTTTTACATAAAATTATTTTCCTGATTTAACTTGCTTAGGTTACATTTTCATAGACAAGTTTTTTTCAAGGTGGACAAATGCATATTTAAACAAAATATGAGGAACTTTTGTTATTCATGTCTTACTCTACCCCCAGTAAACTCATTCTGATCCTGTCTGCATTGAATTGAGCACGAATCACTTATAGTGTGGCAGTGTAGAGTAAGCACTGGACTACTAACCACTAGGAGGGACCAGTTCTTGGAGAAAGTCATCATGCTGAGTAAAGTGCAGGATCAAAGAAGAAGAGGAAGACCCCAATGAGATGAACTGGCACAGTGGCAACAGCAATGGGCTTAAGCTTAACAACAGTTGTAAGGATGGTGCAGGACTGGGCAAAATTTGTTCTGTTGTGCATAAGGTTACTATGAGTTGAAACTGGCTCTATGGCACCTAACAACACCAATAACAACATCAAGTAACTGCAAGGTTGATGTCCTACAAGCCTGGTGGTTCAAACAACCAGCCATTCTTGGAAACAATTCGTTATGAGTTGGAACCACCTTGACTGCAGTTAACAACAGCAAATTTGAAAATTATTGTTTAAAAATATATATTCCTTCTGGATATAGATATTATATACTGTTAGCTTAGAAGGGTTTCTTTTTTTGAGTTTTTGTTGGCTTACCATTTCATGAGTGAATAATTAGCAAATAGCATAGTGTCTGGCATACAGAGTTTTCAGTAGATATTTGTTGATTGTATGAATGACTGTAGAAGTGTTAAGTGAGCATGAAGCTCGACAAAGGATGATATATTTTGGTTCTGCTATTTCATAGCAAACACCTCCTATTTTTTTCCCCCCTCAATTATCCACACTAAAACATCTCAGTCAAGGCGCAACCAAATTGAAGATCCATAGCACTGTTTTTATCTGTACAACATAGAAGACAATGGGAGTACATGCTTAAGCACTTGTGTTACTTCTTTCAAAAGATGCATTATGTGAACATAATCCGTGATGTTAACATTATAAGTCGAAGTGCTCATCACTTTGTAATATTCCCTTAAACATTTTACCTTGCTGTTGAGTAGATTGTGGCTCATGACGATCCTACAGGACAGAGTAGAACTGCCTCATTGTTTTAGTTTGTTTGTTTGTTTATAATCTTTACAGGCAGAGACTGCCACATCTTTTTCTTTTTCCTGTGGAAAGACTGATGGGTTCAAACTAGACTTTTAGGTTAGCAGCCAGATGCTTAACCACTGTGTCCTCAGGCCTCCTTAACAATCCCTTGTTGTTGTTAAGTACTGTTGAGTTGGTTCTGACTCATAGTGACCCTGTATAGGGTTTCTGTGGAGCAGCTGATGGGTTTGATCTGGCAACCTTGTGGTTCACAGTGCAGGGCTGATCCTACAGTGCCACACCAGGAGTCCTTGATATTTCATAATTTGGTACCATTATTCGAGTTTATAAAACCAAATGCTTTGAGCTTATAATCAAAAGAATCAGAAAATACAGTTTACCTCCTTACCCACAAACAAATAACTAGTTGCCAAAAAATCCTTAATTTTTCCTAAAAAGTGAAAACTTGTGCACTAGGGCTTTCAACAGATAAAACCTGAGACATTTCTTAGCTCTAAAAATTCTACTTCTTGCTCTGCCAAAATTATTGAAATTCTACCATGACAAAGTGAATGCATCTAAAAAATGAGAATACATTGGATTATGCATTGGCTTCAATATAAATTGTTGTTGTTATGTGCTGTGGAGTTGGTTCCGACTCATAGCGACCCTGTACAGGGTTTCTGAGGCTGTAAGTCTTTACGGGAGCAGAAAGCCTCATCTTTCCCCCACGGAACAGCTGGTAGTTTCAAACTGCTGACCTTGCGGTTCGCAGCCCGATTCGTAACCACTACGCTACCAGAGCTCCTTTCAATAAAGACACTCTAATTTATAGATTCAATATAAATTAGAGTGTCTTTTTTTTTTACTTGGAAAGGAAAAAAAGAATATTAAGGGACTAGATCATAAAAACATCTTAGTTTTGGTGGAGGGTAGGATGAGACTGAAGCCTTGGGTGGCACTGTGGAATAAAGCACTGGACTGCAAGGTTGATTTGAACCACAAGATCAGTGGTTTAAACCTCACCAGCTGCTCCTCAGAGAAACCCTAGACAGGCTCACTATGAATTGGAACTGACTTGATGGCATTTAACAACAACAACATCAGGAAGAGAATAACTGTACCCATAGATATGCTGCTAACATGATTCATACATAAAATAAGCATGCTGTACTTACTGGTAATGACTGAGTTGATCTTAGAAGACAAAACAGTAGAATCATAGTTTTCATGTTTCAAACAGCTACCTATAATAATAAAATACTGTTACTATTTTATTCTACTTTTTCCCTTTTGAGAGATATTTAAAAACAATGAATGTTCTATTTGTAATATGGTCAATTAATGTTACCTTTATGCAGAGCAGACAAAACGTACAGGTGAAGCAGTATTCACTCTGATCAATTTCTCCAGTTTGTTCAGTTGTGACAATTTGCAGAAGGAATTTAAACTCAGATGCAGGAGACTGGCAACTGAGAAACCAATCAGGAGCTAGCAGCTGATGTGAAATCATTTGGTTTCTTTCATTTCCCAACACTTCATTAGGTGAGTTATTTGTTGCAGACATCATATTACTCAATGTCTACCATTTGAATGGAGGGTATTTCAGAAGGAAAGACTAGTGTAATTAAAAAAGTGCCGAAAATAAAAAATGGAAATCTGTCTTCCCAAATTACTCCCCAGATGTAGCTGTTTTAACATGTATGTTTTTGTTCTGTTATATATAAGTTCTCTATGAATAAGAACTGACTTGATGGTATCTAACAACAACTATGAACTTATAAATAAAACACCAAAATGCACATCCTATCTCATACTTCGGACATATTAACAGGAGAAGGACATCATGTTTTGTAAAGGGGAATGCTAGTGAAAACGAGGGAGATCCCCAACTAGATGGACTGGCACAGTGGCAGCAGCAGTGGGCTCAAGTGTAGCAGCAATTGTGAGATTGGAACAGGACTGGGCAGTGTTCATCTGTTGTACATAAGGTCATTATGAATTAGTAGCAACATGACAGCACATTACAACAACAACAATATGTATAGTTAAAAAAATGAGGTGTGTATATTAGGAAAGGTGTCCGCCAGGGTTGTGTTCTTTCACCATACTTATTCAGCCTGTATGCTGAGCACATAATCTGAGAAGCTGAGTTATATGAAGAAAAATGTGCCATAAGGGTTGGAGGAAGTCTCATTGACAACCTGCGATATGCAGATGATACAACCTTGCTTGCTGAAAGTGAAGAGGACTTAAAATACTTATTGGTGAAGATCAAAGCCCACAGCCTTTGGTATGGGTTGCATCTCAATGTAAAGAAAACAGAAATTCTTACCACTGTACCAATAAACAACATCCATATCAATGGAGAAAAAATTGAAGTTGTCAAAGACTTCATTTTGCTCAGATCAGCCATCAACACTCATGGAAGCATTAGTCAAGGAATCAAATGACATATTGCATTAAGCAAATCTGCTGCACAAGACCTTTTTAAAGTGTTGAAGAACAAAGATATCAGCTTGAGGACTAAAGTGCGTCTGACCCAACCCATGGTATTTTCAATAACCTCATATGCATGTGAAAGCTGGACAGTAAATAAGGAAGACCGCAGAAGAATTGATGTTTTTGAATTCTGGTGTTGGAGGATAATATTGACGGTGCCATGGGCTGCCAAAAGACCCAATAGATCTGTGTTGGAAGAAGTGCAGGCAGAGTGCTCCTTAGAAGCCAGGATGGCCAAACTTTGCACATATTATCTCTCATATTTTGGAGATATTATCAGTAGGGACCAGTCAGTGGAGAAGGATATCATGTTTGGTAAAGTAGAGGGTCAGGGTAAAAAGACCCCCAATGAAATGGATTGGCATGGTGTCTGCTGCGATGGGCTCAGGTGTAGCAATGATTGTGAGGTTGGCCCAGGACCGAGCAGTGTTTTGTTCTGTTGTGCACAGGGTCACTTTGAGTCCTTACCAACTCAATGGCACCTAACAACAACAACAACGATATTGCTCTGCATTTAATTTTTTTAACTTACCAAATTATGGACAATTTATGTGTCAGTACATATATCTTTATTTCATAATTTGATGGCTGTATTCTGTGTGTTTCTATTGATGAGTATTTAATAAATTGTTTATATATTATTTTGTAATTACAGAATGATACAATATAGTTTCACTGCCCTAAAATGACATTTTTTTTTTTTTTTTAGGGCAGTGAAGTTACTTTTTATGTTTCTGTAATGATGAACAAATGACATTTTGTATTTTCAAAATCCATAACACTGTATAAAGTTTAGAAAGAGCCCTAGGGTAAACTATGGACTTTATTGAACTATTCCAAGAATTGGTGTATCAGTTGTAACAAACACACCTCACAAACATAACATAATAATCGAAGATTACAATCTAATAGTAGGAGAATTCTTACTCATAGTTTTTAACTACATAAAGGCATTTGACTGCATGGATTACAAAAAATTATGGATAACATTGCAAATAATGGAATTCCATAATACTTAATTGTGCTCATGTGGAACCTGTGCACTGAGGCAGTCATTTAAACAGAACATGAGGATATTTCATGGTTTAAAAGATTGGAAACAAAAAGGAAGGATCAGTAGTTGGAAAATGTGGCCTTGGTGATAGAAATGATGCTGGAGATCATAGGATAGAATTTTGCAAGACCAATGACCTTTCTTAAAAATATATAAAAGATAACTATATAAATGACCCCCACCAAATTGACTACATCTGTGGGAAGAGATGGTAAAAAAGCTCCATATCATTGGTCAAAACAAGACTAGGGACAGACTGTGGAAGAGACCATCATCTGTTTACATGCAAGTTTGGGCTGAAGCTGAAGAAAATTAAAACAAGTCCATGAAAGCCAAAATTTTAGCTTAAACATATCCCACCTGAATTTAGAGATCATCTGAAGAACTGATTTGATGTATTAGACATTAATGAACAAAAATTGGAAATGTGGGGTAACATAGAGAGCATCATACAATAGGCATTGGCTACCTAAAATGAGGGGGCAATAAAGGCACAAAGTGATTGGCTTACAAGTTTTCAAGACGGAGTTTAGTGTAAGAGTGTGTGTGGGGAAGTTAGAGTCCCCACTGATAGTTTTCATCTTGTCTAGATGAGTCTGGTAAAAGAGATGGGAATAAGATTCTTACGATTCAATAGTGAGTAATTGTTATCATGACTAATTGAGACTGTCACATTGTAAAGGCAGAAGTTTTGTAACAAAAATGGGGGAGTAGTTAATCTTACAGTCCAGAAACAGAGGACCCTAGGACCTTAAGACCCTTAAGGGAGAAGAGCACA